TTTTACATATTTCTTAAGGGACATTAACAAATGTCAGACTCATAACTATAGCAACAATTATTTCAATTTTAAGTACTTCAGAGTCCCTCATAATCTTACACATTTTCTCTCCACTCTTCTCCAAAGCTCTCTCCCGGAGCTCAATTATTTTTAGCATTGAATATATTCCATTGTTGTCTGGATGTACCACAGTTTATTTTTCCATTTGCTTACTGATAAGCATCTTATTAATAATTTCTTTCAAGTTTTGGCAACTATGAAAAAAGCTGGTATAAATATCCCTTATGTGTGGTCATAAGTTTTCAGGAGCTTTGAGTAGATACCAAGGAGCACAACTGCTGGATTGAATGGCTGGAGTATGGTAAGTTTTCTAAGAAGCTGCCAAACTGTCTCTCAAAGTGGCTATAACATTTTACATTCCCACCAGAAATGAATGAGAGTTCCTGTTGCTCCACATCCTTGCCAACATTTGTTGTTGTCAGTGTTCTGGAATTTGACCATTCTAATAAGTGTGCAATGGTATCTCATTGTTTAATTTGCACTTTCCTGTTGCTATCTGATGTGGAGCAGCTTTTCATATGTTATTTTCCATCAGTATATTTTCTTAGGTAAAGTATCTGTTAATGTCCTTGGCTCATTTTTTAATTAGTTAGGTCTTATCATCATTGAGTTTTATATGTTCTTTGTATATCTTGATTAATAGTCTCCATTTTGTTGTCTTCTCCTAACATTTTCTACCCTTTTGTGGCTCATCTTTTCATTCTCTTGACAGTATGTTTTACAGAACTGATTTTTTTAATTTTAATAAAGTCTAGCAGATAAATTCATTATTTCATTGACCATGTCTTTGATCATTGCCAAACTCAAAGTATATAGTAAGAAATTTGCCACTCAGAGGTCTTTAGTGTGATGCAGTTATTAATGTGCTTGGGAAAAATCAGAAAATCAATGCAATAACTCCTACGTCATATCAACATCATATCTTTATTTACCAATTATACAAAAACAAAATTTTAAAAGGAGATATTCATCATAGTAGAGCAAAAAATGCTGTTTTATAGTCTCAATGAACAGACACATTTGCCATGTAAAGTAATCTTTGTATTTTCCCTTTTCACATCTTTCAGGCCAGGCCAAGTCAGGCACTAGATGCCAGATGGAACAGTGTTTGGGGAGGAAGATGGACCTTGTTGTTATGGCAGTGGACTCAACCTTCCTATCTGCTAGCAGCTCCCTGGGCTTGCAGATTCACGGTACAGCTCCCAGTGGACTTGGATTTTCTCTTTGGTGGTTTCTGAAGTGTCTTTTCTTCAGATAGCCATTTTCTTTTCTCCTTCAAAAACTGTAAATGACAGTGCTTAGTGAACTGGCAGTCCAGGGTTACTGGTTTACTGGTTCATAGACTTTAAAAGTTATTTTATTGGAGCATACCCCTGAAATTGCCTTTACAGCTTATCTTCTCAATTGAAAGATTCTTTCTTTTTGAAGAGTCAAGACCATGAACTGAAAAAAGTGTTCCGTGAACTGAAAAACATGTTGGTCTTTTCATGGGACCAGATTTTTAAGATAAAAAACAATAAATATTTTTACATCTGTCAGTATATGTCAAGGTTGAACGTGTGTTTGGCAGTATGACTGCTAAACTCTCCAGGATTCCACAGCTGGACTCAGAGCCACCCTTCTTGCCACTGGCCATATGTTTAGACTTGAAGTCCAGGGACAAGGTGTAAAGTGAGGAAATTTGCCCTTATTGCTCCAAGGCAGTCCGTAACTTCTGTCCTGAGTCTCTATGACAGTATAGTCCTTGGATGATGTGAACATAGTTGTTTGAAATCACTTTCTCTGGGACTTAATTGGAATCTTGGGTGATACAGGCTATGCTAGACAGCTTGGCCCTTTGTCTCTGTCTTCCACGAAGACCTCCCTGTGGAAGCATCTCCCTAAGTAGTAGGGGATGCCAATGCCTAGAGGTTAAAATTAAAATTTAAAAGACCACCAAAACACACACACAGAGTCCTTATTTTCTTGGTGAATACTGCTATGTTCCTTATAATAGTTATGGAAGCTCCTAGAACAGCCAGACTATTCAGTCAGAAAGGATCTAAGTAAATTTATGGTTCAAGAATATGAAAGATGGTGACTGAGTTTTTTGGCTTTGATATGCAGGTATATAGGCTCTTGTGATTGTTATTTGAATAAACTACAGCTTGCAATACTGCATTAGAGTTTTCTTCAAATGTTAACAGTCATGAAATCTAAAAATATAATTGGATTATTTGGGAAAAAAGAAGACAAATTTCTAGATGGCTCTATTTATCATTGTTAAGAATACTGGTCATGAGCTGGGAGTGGTGGCTCACGCCTGTAATCCTAGCATTCTGGGAGGCTGAGGCAGGTAGATAGCTTGAGCTGATGGGTTTGAGACCAGCCTGAGCAAAAAAACGAGACCCCCGTCTCTACTAGGAAAAAAAAAAGAAAAAACTGAGGCAAGAGGATCTCTTGAGCCCAAGAGTTGGAGATTGCTATGAGCTACAATGCCACGGCACTCTACCTAGGGGGACAGAGTCTGGGACTGACATTTAAGTCCTTTTTGGGTATAACTCATTACTTTTAAGGAGCATTTTCTTATATGTTTATTCTTTTCATATCTATAAAGATGTTGGTACCAAATAAACTCCCCCAAAAAACTAAACCAAAAATAAACACAAAACAGAAACTCCCAACTCAAAATATAATAGAGTTTAAAATAACAGAGCACATGTACATGAAAGTTCACAGCAGCATTACTTATCTGAATAGCTGAAAAATAAAAAGAACTGAACGTCTATGAACTGATAAAAGGTTAAAGAAATGAATGTTGTATTTATACAGTGGACTATTGTGTGGCCACAAAAGAGTAAAGTACCAATACAAGCTGTATATCATGAATGTACCTTGAAAACACTATGCCATGTAAAGGAAGCCTGATACAAAAGGCCATATATTATATGATTCCATTTATACAAAACGTCCAGAACATATAATAAATCCATAGAGGTAGAAAGTAGACTAGTGGTTGCCAGGGGCTGGGGTAAGAAGAGAATAGGAGTGACTGCTAAAGGATACAGAGTTTCTCTGTGAGGTGGTGAAAATGTTCTGGAATTATATAGTAGTAATAATTGGACAATCTGTGAATATACTAAAAGCCATTGACTTAGAACACTTCAAAAGGATGAAGTTGGACTGGGCATGGTGGCTCACGCCTATAATCCTAGCACTCTGGGAGGTATAGGGGGGTGGATTGCCTGAACTGAGGAGTACAAGACCAGAACAAGAGCAAGACCCTGTCTCTAAAAATAGCCAGACATTGTGGTGAGCACCCATAGTCCCAGCTACTAGGGAGGCTGAGGCAAGAGGATCACTTGAGCCCAAGAGCTTGAGGTTGCCTTGAGCTATGATGCCATGGCACTCTACCAAGGGTGACAAAGTAAGACTCTGTCTCAAATTAAATAAAGAAAGAAAGAAAGAAAGAAGTTTATGGTATGTGAATTATATGAATAAAGCTGTTATTAAAAGTGACAGAGGTAAAAATACTCATATTCACCTCTGGGTGGGAAGGAGGACTGAGGCATAGAGAACCTGCCAATATCAGGACAAAGTAAGGCTTACAATATTTCACTCTTAAAGAAGGTGATCCTTATGGGACTTCAGACACGGATTTACCATGAAGTGAATTCAGGCTTTGATTTCAGGGTCTTTTCCTACTTCAGGACCCAGAAACTTATATTTGTAATTTTGTTTTCTTAAAGAGAGCCCCAGAAATTCAAGAAGCTTCAGGCCTTGCAAAACCTGCCTCCGTACCTGTCAAATCCACAGAATCATGCAAGACAGATTAAAGACAAACAAACCTCATAGAACTTTAGAATATAAAAGTTTCTCTTGGTGAGCTACAGCCACTGAGGGTTTCAATTAGGGGTTAACATTCCTGTTTTGTGCTCCTTTGGTGTGAAGAGACATAAATTATTTTATCTATTTGGGGTCTCAGTGAACAAGAGTCCATGTGTATCCTCCTCTTTTCATAGATAGTCACCTGGGTTCTTCTTCCCAGGCTGTTGAACTTGACATACCTCAGAAGAATCATGGGCATAAATGCAACGATAAAAACAATATATTAGGTTCTACAGTTATAACCATGTACAGCATACAGGATTTTTTGTAACCAAGGTCCTAAAGGGCAACATCTATATCATTATTTAGTTTCACCAGAAAGAGGTGCTGAGCTGACAGGAAGATCGGCTGTACACATTTCAGCACCGTGTGAACACGCCGTGAACATAGTCTTCACTGACTGGGTTCTCATCCCTTGACTTTTCCTTTTCTTGTGTTTACCTCAAAAATCTGCTGCATAAGTCAGTTCTATGAAGAGACAGTCCTGACAGGAGATTTTCTTTACGTCACACACTGTCAGGACTGTCTCTTCATAGAACTGACTTATGCAGCAGATTTTTGAGGTAAACACAAGAAAAGGAAAAGTCAAGGGATGAGAATATAAATGTACCAGTCTCTGCAGTTGGAGTTTGTGCAGGTGAAGCTCAGCGAGACATACGACTCTGGTCTGAATTGTAAACACAAGGGATTAGAATCCATTAGTCCATAGACTATTATATCCTCAGAATTTTTCTTAATAGGTTCTGAAATATTTCTGTGAAGAACAACTGTCATGTAGCAGGGTTAATGTCCTTTCTCAGGAATGTATGCCACCTGGGGGAAAGAAGAGACATCTGGGCAAAAAACAGAGGCATTTCTAGAAAACAGAATTTAGGTTTCCTTTTATACTGTTCCCCTCTCCAGCTCCCTCTGGAGAGTAGCCCAAGAACTCCGTAGTTCCTTGGCTCTGAAGAATGAGACCTGGAGGTAGTTGGAAGAAGCCCCCAGCAGAGAACATTATTTCCATTATTTCGCTGGAAAGAGAAATAATGCCGCCTATTCAAGTCTGCTCACACCCAGCCCCACCCAGCCCCTCAGGGTTTGTGTAGGGTTCCCCCCGCAGCCCCTCTCACTGTGTGCAGAGCGCAGTAGTACACAGCCGAGTCTGACAGTTCCACGGAGGGTTTCTGCAGGTGGAAGGAGCCATCACTTTTATCATGATTGACGTGAAAACCTCTGCTGTACATCTTCTGGTTTTCTGATGAGCTTTTCAGGAGGAGCTCGGGTGCTTTGTTTGGAAACTGGACATACCAGAAAAGGAAAACTGTATAGCTGCTCTGGTAAGTGCAGTTCAAGGTCAGAGCTGCCCCCTCAGGGAGGGTAACCCAGCCTTCTGTCTGGGTCACAGAGTCGCCATTGGTCCTTCCTAAAAATAGTAAAGGCTTTGTTATATTGGCAGTGTAAGATCATAGTCTTTAGTGTGGAAGAGGTTAAAGATCATCCTAAAACCAAGGAATAGAACATCTCAGAAGTTTTGAGTAAACGTTACTCACCAAATATCAACAAGATCACAAGGCCTGAGCAAGAAGCAGACAGCATGGCCGGCGGATAAGCAGTAGGTTTTGTTCAGGGATACACCAAAACTGAGAGCGCCGTTTTTCTGGTTGCTTGATCCTTTGTTAGGTATCTTCTACAAAATCTTGGCTCATGTGGTAAGCAAAGCATACTGCTCTGCAAGATCATACCAGAGGCTGTAAAAAAGAGAGAGAAGCTCAGGAAAGGGAGGATGAATTTGTGTAGAACCGCCCACCTGAAGGAAGCAGTGCCCCCTTCTGGCCTTCTCTGCACCTGCAGCCTGCTCCTCATCTTTGAATGACATTTACCCTGGAGCAGAGCTTACATTTCAGATATGGAAGGGAAATGGGGGTCTGAGGTGAAGAAGGGTAGGACTACAAAAAGGAAGCGCAAAACATTTTCTGCGAATTTCACACTGGTCCCTGGGGCTGAGAAAATGGGCAATTCCTCTGTCACCCTCTATAAGGCACAGGGCAGTATGACTGCCTTAAATCTCCCCAGTCCCAGCACCTAATATCCGTTCCCACCTACTAATAAGTTAGTTTAGGCATTTTAGTATCTCCTAAGAGTGAAAAAAGCACATTGTGTGATCTTTTCTTGGCATATTTCCCGCTGATCCCCTGGAGTGAGATGAGTGTTTCTTCTTAGAATGCCCTTCTTTCTCTCCCTACTCTTTGCCTGAATGAGTCCTATTTATTCTTTAAGAACCAAAGTACAGGCCAGGTGAGGTGGCATACGCCTGTAATTCTAGCACTCTGGGAGGCCGAGGCAGGTGGATTGCCTGAGCTCACGGATTTCAGACCAGAGCAAGAGTGAGACCCCGTCTCTAAAAATAGCCAGGCGTTGCGGCAGGGGCCTTGGGAGGCTGCGGCAAGAGAATCACTTAAGCTCAGGAGTTAGAGGTTTCTGTGGGCTATGAAGCCATGGCATTCTACCCAGGGTGATGGTAAGATTCTGTCTCAAAAAAAAGAACCAAAGTGCACACCATCTGCTTGTGAAGTCACTCTTTCTTTAGGCTGAGTTAGTGCCCACCTTCCCCCACCCCATGCTTTCTATCTGTGTCTATCACTGTCCTCACCACATCGTATTAGAATCATTTCTGTCCTGTTCCTCAGGCTCCACTTGGTGTTCCTGAGATCAGGAGCTTAATCCTATTTTATTTCAGTAGCTCATTTCCCAAAATATACAGGACCTCAGCTCATATGAGATGCACAAAAAATATCGGAAGCATGGGCTAATAAATGAATGAACAAACATGTTTGATGTATAAAATTGTCTTTTGATGAGAAACAGTCTATGTGAGAGGATGTGTCTTAGAACCCTGACATGACTTGCTTCTTCAAGAGGTAGAGTCAGGACCTGATAACAGGTGCAATCAATGTTTCTGAAGATTGAGTAAGGGGCAGATCTTCCTACAAGGGTCTACTCTCATACTATTTTTTAAAAATATTGTGTCTTTATATACACAATAATAAAATTATATATTGATTCATCAGTTTTTAGGCTTGTAGGTTTTATACCATTATCAAATCCAACAGAAAAGGAAAACAAGATATAAAATCAATAACATTCAAATAAAAACATTAGTGTAAGGGATGATCCTTCACTGAAACTAAAGAGCACAGGCTTATTAAAAGAAAGCTTTAGACGCACATAGTTGAATAACAGACTTGATTAAAGTGACTTGGAACTAGATGTACTATATTGTCTGAGTTATTGTGATTAGTGATTATAAGTTTTTTCACTCTTTACATTCAGAAATACTCATGTCAGTCCCCATTATACAATTTTACTATTTAATAAAACATTCAGAACTGAAAAAATATATACTTGGCCTTTGCTGATACTTCTATGTCTGCTGAATTCTGTGTTGATATATACAATGAATATGAGTAATTTATAATCTTTCCATGGAAATATGGTAGTTACTCTGATAAAGCATTTCTGTGGAGTTTGGCTTAACTATAGTACTATGTACTATAGTATACCCATAATTTTCTGAAAATGAATAGCACTCTACAAATGAAGACAACATCAATGTCTTCATTTGTAGAGTGCTATTATTCCATTTTCTTTTAAATTGGTAAAAATCACCGGAATAAAGCATCAAAATCAAAGGGGCTCCCATAAGTTGATGGCTGCAATGAGCTATGATTTTGCCACTGTACTCCAGCCTGTGTGACATAGTGAGGCTCTGTCTCTAAAAAGAAAAAGAAAATCAAGGGGAATGCTTCTGTTACTCATCTATATGATTAGAAATATACCTTTATTATTTTACTTTGTTGTCATTAAACAAAAAAATGCAAATCTAAAAATTCTCATGTAATATTTGTATCCCAAATATTGGCAGACTTTTTCCTATCAAAGGCCAAATAATAAATATTTAAGGCTTTGAAGCCATAGAGTCTCTGATACAACTACTCAGCTCTGCTATTGTAGAATGAAAGCACCCATCAGCGATGCATAAATGAATGGGAAAGACTGTTTTACAATAAACTTTAGTTACAAAAACAGGTGGCAGAAAGTTTTGACTACCAGACTATAGTTTTATGACCTCTGCTATACTCCAGTAATTTATCCATACTTGTCCAAAGATTCATGAATTACAGCCTTAGAAACTCAACCTTATTTTTGGATGTGTTCTTTCACTACAACATTATAGCAACTCTTTGATGAATCTTAAAATGAAGGAAGTAGGTGGCTCACACCTGTAATTTTAGCACTTTAGGAAGCTGAGACACTAGTCCAGACAACAGAATGAGATTTTGTCTCTAAATAAATAAATAAGATTAAATAAGTTAATAGGAGAAATAAAGAGATTTGATGATCCAAGCCCCTAATTTACTTTGGTGCTAAAGATTCAAGGGTTGGGAGTGCAGATAATGGTCCTTACTTTTAAGGAGCACATAGAGTAGTAATAGAGATAGCTCTTAACTAAATGAAGAAATAAAGAAGAAAGTACATGTATAAAAAGGGAAAGGTCCATGATTCTAACAGAGCAGACTGAGCTTTCTTCTGTTGCTGACTTTTGGGCAGACGCACAAGAATGAGTAGTCATTTACTAGTTTGTTTGTTTTTTTCTTTTGTGGGAAGACAAAAGAATTTTAAGAAAAAGAATAAGAAAATGTCCTAAAATTGCTTTGAAAGGGTTATATAGGAGAAACACAGTGCTACTAAGAAACTTAAGTAGAAGAAGTTATTGAAGAAAAAGAAACTATAGTAACATGTGGAATGAGACTGGAGGGGTAGTAAGAGCCAAAATTATGAAGGGTTTTATAGATCACATGAGAAGGTTTTTCTCTATCCTAAGAACACACAAGGACCCAGGTGACTGACATGGTCAAATTTGTCCTCTGACCAGGTCACTCTTGCAGTATACAAATAACTCTACTGACCAATGACAGGGGTCTGTCAAGCAGGCTGGGAGAAAGAAAGCCAAGGATTGAGGTAGATTTTTAGTTAGGGTGTGGAGGTTGTGATGTCTTCTAGAAGATTTAATAGGTGGGAAATTCAACAGAACTAGGCAATATATCAGATAAGGTAATTCAAAATTGAATAGCTATTAACTAAGCCTACCAAATGAATCCTAATATTCCCTAAACTGAGTATATGTTAGAGACTGCTCCTGTACAATGTCCATTCTCTCCTATTTCTTATATGAGAACCCCAATGTTGATACAGATGGAAACATGCTCAGATAAAAAAGTAACCCTCATATCCCAAGCCTCCCTTACAGATAGGAGGAGGGACATCAAATAACACTTTGGTAAATGAATGCAAGGAGAAGTCTTCAGTGAGCCTTCTGGAAAAGACTCAGCCAGCATGTACTCATTTGCCTTTTGACTTTCTCCTTCCTGCCTGAAAGTTGTGACATAGATAAATCTCTAACAGTCTCTTGGAAATATGAACACAAGAAGGCTGACCTAAAGATGAGAAATAATAGGCTGGAAAGATCCTGAATCCTTCATAACATAATAAAGCTACTGTGCCAGCCCCATACATTACAGAGCTTCATTGTGTAAGAAAAAATTAATGCCAATTTTAGCAGAGGAAGCTGTAATGATCAGGGAGCTGCTTTTGATGGAGGTATCAACAGTAACTCTTAGTCTTCCATGATTTTCTTCATTTTTATAATATGAACACATTAATATTAACAGGGCAAGTCCCCTACCTGAATCTCATCTATACCACTATGAATTGTTTATTCTAGATTTGTAACCGAAGTTCATGCTGGCATTTTCACCCTCCTAATGCTCAGGGCCTAAGGATTCTCTTATCCCTGTTGAGTGTTCACCCCTAGGCAGAAAGACAAGTGAGAGACTAGGAGTCAGTCATTGCATTTTCAAATTAATAAGAAGGTTTTAACTTTTGTTCCTATGGACTCTGACCTCTAGTATGCCTATTCCCATCATCACCAAGAGCCCCAACTCACTGGCCAGTTGAAGCCATAGAACCACCAAATACACTCCCAGGAGATTCTCCATTATTCTTCTTTACTTGGATCGTGAAGGACTCAGCTCTAAGTCCTGGAATGAAGCCAGACTTCTCAGTCAAAAGAGTAAGTTCTCTTTACTCATAGTCCTTCTGCTCCATGTCAGGTTTCTTACCTAGCCCATGAGGGGCAAGTTCAATCCTTCACTTCCAACATACACATGCCAAGTTAAAGCCATGTAAGTCTGAGAGGGAGGCACTGTCATCTGGTGGTGACAACATCATCCTGCTAATAGGATGTCCTCTGGAATGACAATGAATATACAGAGCTGATTCAGAAGAAATTACAAACCTAATCTGTTTCTGAAGTCTAATTCCAATTTATAGTAAGAACAGATACCAAGTCAGTTAAGAACTCAATTAAGAAAGAAGGTTGGTGCCCAGGATTTATAGAATACCTTTGAGAAACACTGTTAAGTATCCTAATGTTACTACAACCTCTGCTAATGTACAGTGAGCTTTTGTTTTGGGGAAAAATGCCTAATGCTAAAATGAGATTATAAAAGTCAGGGTACTTGTTGGTGACTCTGGCT